CTTCTGTCTTTGCATTTTACAATGGACTTTGGATGTTCTCTGTTTAACCTGCTGCTGCTACATTCCATCCCAATCCATTGTCATAAGCACTCTCTACCCCACCTCTCTTAACATGGATTCACAAATTTACTGATCTTAATATGCATGTTTTTTTCTAGCATAAAAGTTCCCGTGTATGTGTTTGATTTTAGATCTGCCTTAAATCTGTAAAATTGTCCTGCTTTTTTCCCTAGTACCTCCATCTGGTATACATGTATGTGCATGTGCTAAAATGCAGATTTTTGGATTTTGGATTATTATGGATCTAAATGTAATCTGAGCATAGTGCATGCTTATGCACTTGTGTGAATGTCTCTATCGAAAACAATGAAGTTGTGTGTAGATCCATAAATAAAAAATGCTTGTAAATGCAGTCTTTTCTTTCTGTGTGAATGTAGCCTTATGCAGTAGAGAACAGAGGTCATGTGGACACTTACAAAAAATAAAAAAAGAGGTATCTAGAATTTTATATATATATATATACTGTATATATATATATATATATATATATATATATATATATATATACAGTATATATGTGCTGAACGATGTTACAGGCAGCATAACATTCTCCACAGCTTCTCCAGATCATTTCACGTCTGTCACATGTGCTCAGGGTGAACCTGCTCTCATCTGTGAAAAGCACAGAGCGCCAGTGACAGACCTGCCAATTCTGGTGTTCAATGGCAAATGCCAATTGAACGCTATGGTGCAGGGCAGTGAGCATAGGGCCCACTAGAGGATGTCGGGCCCTCAGGCCATCCTAATGAAGTCTGTTTCTGATTGTTTGGTCAGAATCATTCACACCAATGGCCTGCTGGAGGTCATTTTGTAGGGCTCTGGCAATGCTTATCCTGTTCCTCCTTTGCACAAAGGAGCAGATACCGGTCCTGCTGATGGGTTAAGGACCTTCTACGGCCCTGTCCAGTTCTCCTAGAGCAGTGGTTCTCAACCTTCCTAATGCCGTGACCCTTTAATACAGTTCCTCATGTTGTGGTGACCCCCAACCATAAAATTATTTACCCAGTAATTATAATTCATGAGTGTCGTTTTACCTCCAATACTGCTGCTTTCAACACAGTAGCTGCTTTTAACAGAGTAGCTGCTTTCAACACAGCAGCTGCTTTCTACACAGTAGCTGCTCTTTACACATCAGAAATATGTGTTTTCTGATGGTCTTAGGGGACCCCTGTGAAAGGGTCGTTCGACCCCCAAAGGGGTCGCAACCCACAGGTTGAGAACCACTGTCCTAGAGTAACTGTCTGTCTCCTGGAATCTCCTTAATGCTCTTGAGACTGTGCTGGGAGACACAGCAAGCCTTCCGGCAATGGCACGTATTGATGTGCCATCCTGGAGGAGTTGGACTGCCTGTGCAACCTCTGTAGGGTCCAGGTATCACCTCATGCTGCCAGTAGTGACACTGACCCTAGCCAAATGAAAAACTAGTGAAAAACAGTCAGAAAAGAAGAGTGCGAAAAAACTGTCAGTGGCCATCACCTGTAAAACCATTCCTATTTTGGGGATCGTCTCATTGTTGCCCATCTAGTGCATCTGTTGTTAATTTTTTCATTAACAGCAAAGCAGTTGAAACTGATTAACAACTCTCTCTGCTACTTAACTGACCAGATCAATATCCCAGGAGTTTAATTGACTTGATGCTATACTTTGATTAACCACTTGCCAACCGCGCTATAGCCGAATGATGGCTACAGCATGATTGTCCAGTTCTGGGAGGGCATCATATGAGGTCCTCCCAGAACACACCCTCCTGTGTCCAATGACATAGCAGATTACCGGTAAATGAAGTTGCCGCCCACTTGTGCCCAGCAGTGCCACCCACAAGTGCCCAGCAGTGCCACCCACCTCTGTCCATCAATGCCTAGTAGTGCCACCCACTTATGCCCAGCAGTGCCACCCACCAGTGCCCCCCATCAGTGCTGCCCATCATTGTTGCATATCAGTGCCGCCTCATCAGTGCCAGCTCATCAGTGTTGCCTGTCAGTGCTGCCTATCCATGCCACCTCATCAATGCCACCTATCAGTGCCCATCAGTGCCCATCAGTGCTGCCTATCAGTGCAGCCTCATCAACGCACATCAGTGAAGGAGAAAAATTACCTGTTTGCAAAATTTTATATTAGAAAAAAAGAAAAACTTTCTTTTTACAAATTTTTTGCTTTTTTTTGTTTATAGCACAAACAATAAAACACCCAGCAGCAATTAAATACCACCAAAAAAAAGCTATATTTGTGTGAAAAAAATTATAAAAATTTCATATGGGTACATTGTTGCATGACCGCGCAATTGTAATTCAAAGTGCGACAGTGCTGAAAGCTGAAAATTGGCCTGGGCAGGAAGGGGGTATAAGTGCCCTGTAGGCAAATGGTTAAAAAGTGTTCGTTTAATTTCTTTGAGCAGTGTATATACTGTATATGTGTGTGTGTGCACAAACATTTTGCCTTGCATTTCTATTTTAAACTGAATGGGTTGTTTTACAAGGCAAAAGGTTCACATATACTTTAACAACTCCACTCAGTTAGCAAAATGAGGGAAGGATAAAGATTGTTATAAAAAGTGACTGAAAAAGTTCCTGCTGACCCGGCCCATTTTTGGCCGTGTGTACTGGGCATAAGGGGTAAATGGTTTGCTGGTAGGGTAAACTCTGTGGACTTTCTAAATGAAGCATGATTGCAATGTTCCCTTCAATTGCTAGGCAATTCATGTTGGCTGGCATAGCTAATTAACTGTGGATTAATCAGTAAGACAGTTGATAGATTACAATTATACAGTATAAGTATTATGGAGGTCTTAATTTGAGGTCTTCATAAATTAAACTGGTTGCCCACCACAGCATTAATGGAAGAGGATGTTTGCTAACACAAGTGTTCCTATTGGATATGGATACGATATCACACTAATAAAATATCTTCAACCAGAAAACATATGTGCAATGTCAGCTTTCTCACGATAACACTGCCATGTTTTGTATCAGAGTTGTCATCTCCTTGTGGACATAGGGAGGCTCACTTGCTTGCATTCAGCAGCATTCATTATAGCATAGGGGCTTGTCAAAGTGACAGCTGAGGATCAGAAATGTCATCACCAATAGAAGATAAATGGGATTTACTGGACAGGTTGAGGTGCTTAAAAGCAGAGCTAACTCTAGCAGTCTGACATCATAAAACATATAACAGATGATTCACCTACGTGGCACAGGAAGGATGTCACTGTATGTGTACAGCATGGATAACCTTGAAACAGTCAATGTACAGTTACAAGTTAAAGGATACAATCACATTTCCTTCTGCTCTGTTATAATTTGAAAGCATTGTATACCTTGTCTATAGTTTTATTTTTACTCCATGAGCCATGCAAACGCCAATTTAAAATGTTATGCAGTAAACAAAACCATCTTGATAGTTTCTAATGGCAGGGCAGTCAAAATCCCTCCATATACATATTTCTGAAAGAAACACTCTTCAAGCCTTGCTTTGGCAGTGAAAAATTTTAGACTAGTAATAAACCCTTAGCATTTATAAGCTAACACTTAGCACAATGACAGTCATTAAAAAGTCCCTAAAAATGAGAAACAATGGCTTTGAAATGACAGAGCTCGATTCTTTTAGCATCTGTTGGTGTATGCCATCTGATCCAGGTGCTTTATAAACCTTTATTCTAAATATTTCTGGACTTTATCAATTTTGAGCCATTGTGGATCATTTGGGGCTGTGTCAATACTATGCCTATTATGGACAAGAGCTCCCCCATGCTCGATTGTATACTCAGAGCTGAAGAAGGTACTTAATAAATTTGCCTTCTCTTTGTCCCCAGTCACCCACTCGAGATTATTTTGTAAAGGGCCTATATGTTCAGACCTGACCTTTTTACTATTAATATATTTGAAGAATTCTTGGGGTTTGTTCTACTCTTTTGCAATCTGTAGTTCATTTTGAATTTTGTTGGCCTTGATTTCCCTTTCACATATTCTATTATATTCTTTGTACCATTTAAAAGATAATAATGTTCCTTCATTTTTATATTTTTTTAAAAGCTCTCCTCCAGGGGCGGAACTACACTTCAACGGACTAACAACTCATGGGGCCCCCGGGCAATAGGGGATCCTGGAGCCCCTGTGTCCAAAACTCAAAAAAGCCTATGAAAAAGGTACCAGGGGCATCTCATGGGGCCCCCTACTGACCCCAGGCCCTCGGGCAGTGCCCAAGTTTCCAAATGGTCAGTCCACCCCTGCTCTCCTCTTGTTATTTATAGCTTTATAACTTTGTCCGTGACCCACAGGTTTGATTTTTAGCCGGTACACCTTATTGCCCATGGGAATATATTTTGCAGTGTGTTCGCATACAGTCATTTTGAAGAATTCCAATTTCTGTTCTGTGTTCATCAATGCCAATATTCCCTCCCAGTCTATGTCTTGGAGATCATCCCTCATCCTTGGAAGATTTGCTCTCTTAAAGTGTTTTTATATTTGCAGTATGTGTTTGTTGTTTACAGCTTACATTACCGGTTGCCCTCCAAAGGATTTACCCCCCTTCCTGACAGGCCATTTTTTGCGATACTGTGCTGCATTACTTTAACTGAAAATTGTGCGGTCATACAACACTGTACATAAATTTAATTTATGCCCTTTTTTCCCACAAATGGAGCTTTCTTTAGGTATATCTGATCACCTGTGTGGTTTTCATTTTCTGCACTATAAACAAAAAAAGACCAACAATTTTGAAAAAGAAAACAATATTTTTGACTTTTTGCTATAAAACTTATCCAGTAAAAAAAAAAAAATCAGATTTCGTCATAAACTTAGGCCAAAATGTATTTTGCTAAAGAAAAAAAAACAAAACATGTAAATTAATTGGTTTACGTGAAAGTTATAGTGTCTACAAATGGTGGTATATATATAATGGAATTATTTATTTTTTTTATACTAGTAATGGCTATGATCAGGGACTTATAGCGGGACTGCGGCAGGCATTCTGACACTGGGTGGGAACTGACAAACGTCCACTGACATCCCAATGGCACGCATACAGTGATCAGTGCTAATAAAAAGAACTGACACTGTACTAATGACACTGGAAGGGGTTAACATCTGGGGCGATCAAAGGGTTAACTGTGTGCTGTTTTACTGTGTGTGCTGTGTGTGTTTTTACTAGGGAAACATGCTGCTGTGTATTTCTCTGCTGTGTGTATTTCTCTGCTGTGCAGAGAAATACACAGCAGCATGTTACTACTGGCAGGAGAGAGACCTGTGTTGTTTACACGCAGGTCTCTCCCCTGTCAGTGATACCCGACGATCACTGGGTGCCAGTGGGGAATCTCTTTCCAGGACCTGTCGATCGACATCTGTAGCCACCAATTGTGGTGCGGGAAGGGCAGCACGCGCGAACACCCCCTTACCTGGAAATGCAAAATCATATATATATATATATATATATATACACACAAGATTTTGTGCACCCCTGCCACCCTGTAGCAGTAGTTCTGATATAGGGTGGACGAGATGGGATAAATGAAACCATGTTATGGTCACTGCTACCCAGATGTTCTTTTATATGGACATTATTAACAAGCTTTGCATGGTTAGAGATTACCAGGTCCAGCAGAGCATCATTCCTAGTTGGGGCCTCTATGAACTGTAACATAATATTGTCTTATATTAAATGTATACATTTTTGCTCTTTAACTGTTTCAGCAGTGCCATTACTCCAGTCAATTTAAGGTTATTTAAAATTGCCCATTATTATAATTCTGCCACCTCTTTCTATCTGTATAAGGAGCTGTGTTACCACATCCTCCATTCATTAACACTGGGTGACCTATAACAAGCTCCAATGATTACCTTTGTAGTAGGCACACCTATATGCAGTTCCACTCATAATGCGTCAGCCTCATCACACTCTCCATCAACTAGGTCCTCTTTCACACTCGCTCTGAGATCACTTCTCATATAGAGACAGACACCACCACCTTTCCTATTTACCGTCTGTACAAAAGAGAACATAGCCAGGAATATTAATGGTCCAGTCATGTGAAGAATGAAGCCAAGATTCAGTAATACCAATTAAATCATAGTTCTCTTTATGCACCAAAGCCTCCAACTCAGGGCTCCTGTGAGATACCACGGGGCCCCATACAGCCAACATGACAGTCCCCCCTCCCACAAAACACTATTCTTTAGTTATGATGGAACATAGTAAGTGATCGTAACTCACTCATTGTGTTAATTTAGGAAAGGAAGGGGATGGTAAATATGATATATTTACTGGACTTCCCCCCCACTCTCCATCCATTGTGTGCTTGCAACAGCCAGTTGGAAGGAGAGGAGGGGAGCCAGCAGCACTGCAGCAGTGGGGGCACACAGGTGGACCTGGGCAGCAGGGGGAAATGAATGGTGATGGGTGGATTGTGGGCAGGGAGGGTTATCGACATGGCAGGGGGACAATTACTGGAACTGATCCCCTGATTGGCTCTATCTGCAGTAGCAGAAAGCCAACGGGAGGGAGAGGAGAAGAAGCCAACTTTCAGCTGCTGCCGAAAGAGCCATACAGGAGATCAGTTCCAGTAACTGACCCCCTGCCATGCCAATCACTGTCCCTGCCCACAATCCATTCACCCAGCTTCCTGGGCCCCCCATGATGGCATGGGTCCCATACAGGAGGACTGGTGGTACCCCCTTATCCACGGCCCTGCTCCAACTGATCTATTTTGCTTTCTACTTTGCTTGGCAGGCCTCATTTTGTACATGTATTTTGCATATTTTTTGTAGTACAAATATTACCATTTCCAGTGTTTTTTTGTAATATGGGAACCTTTTTATCACCTGCCATAACCCTCCCCCCAACTTCCCCCTTTCCACCCACAATTAGGGGCTGACCCTTGTCTGACCTGGCTGCCCCATTACAATAGAATTCACCCCCCCATCCTAGTTTAACCACTTGCCTACTGGGCACTTATACCCCCTTCCTGACCAGGCCAATTTTCAGCTTTCATTGCTGTCACACTTTGAATGACAATTGCGCAGTCATGCAACATTGTACCCATATGAAATTTTTATCATTTTTTTTCACACAAATAGAGCTTTCTTTTGGTGGTATTTACTTGCCACTGGGTGTTTTATTTTTTGCGCTATAAACAAAAAAAGAGCAAAAAATTTTGCAAACAGATAATTTTTCTCCTTCACTGATGTGCATTGATGAGGCTGCACTGATGGGCACTGATAGGCAGCACTGATGAGGGGGCACGGATAGGTGGCACTGTTGGGCACCGATAGGCAGCACTGATAGGTGGTACTGATGAGCACTGATAGGCGGCACTGATGATGGGCACTGATAGGTGGCACTGATGAGCACTGACTGGCGGCACTGACTGGCGTCACTGCTGGTCACTGACTGGCGGTACTGCTGGGCACTAGTGGGTGGCACTGGTGGGCACAGGTGGGTGGCACTGCTGGGCACTTGTGGGTGGAACTACTGGGCACTTGTGGGCGGCACTGCTGGGCACTTGTGGACGGCACTGGTGGGTGGCACTGCTGGGCACCAATCATCAGGGCATTGATCATCAGTGCCCTGATGATCAGTGCCGATCCCTCCTCTGACAACTACCGGTTCTCAGCAGTACTTTCCTCGCACTGTGACAGCATGAGGAAAGTGCAATCAATAACCGGCAATTGCATTTCTCGGACACGGCTGATCACGTGGTAAAAGGCAGCTGTAATTGGCCTTTTACCACATCACGTGGTCAGCCGTGTCCGTAGGACACTGCGATCACGGAGATTGGCGGGTGCGCAGAAGAGCGCGTTCTGGGAGGACATCATATGACGCAGAACTGGCCGGCCGCAGTGATGCCATTATTCAGCTATCTGCGGTCGGCAAGTGGTTAAATACTCTACCAGTCTTCCCATCAACCTCTCCCCCAGAACAGCAGACCCCCTTCCATTTAGGTGCAAGGGGTGTTTCCCTTCCCTCCAATCAATCCTCACTGAGATCTGCAAAGTGTAACTTCAGCTCCTCGCCCTCTGCTTTCTGAAAGCTCAGACAAGCTGCATAAATTCTGGACTTATTATTATTATTATACAGTATTTATATAGCGCCAATAGTTTGCTCAGTGCTGTACATTATAGTGGGAGACAGTACAGTAACAATACAATGTGATACACGAGGGGTTCGAGGGCCCTGCTCCTTGGAGCTTACAATCTAGGAGGGAGGGGAGAGTGGTACAGGAGAAATAGCTGTGGGGGATGGAGTGGTGGGAAGAGCGGAGGAGATCAGCAATTAGGTGAGGGCGGGGTAGGATTTTCTGAAGAGATGTGTTTTCAGGGTGCGCCTAAAGGTGAGGAGGGTAGGTGACAGTCTGATGGATTGAGGTAGTGAGTTCCAGAGGATGGGGGAAGCCCTGGAGAAGTCCTGGAGATGGGCATGGGAAGAGGAGACCAGGGAACTGGAGAGTAGAAGGTCTTGTGAGGAGCGGAGAACGCATGTTGGGTGGTAGATGGACTTTGAAGAGATGTAGAAAGGAGAGGGCTACAGATAACCAGGTGCAATGTACTGTATGTAGGAGCATTTGTTTCATCTGTGTATTATCTGATGCTAATTACTTCATTGGCTATGTGTAAGGGTTTACAACCACTTTAAGTGACCTACACTTCAATCCTATTGACCACATTTGGAATAAATTAGAATGCTGATTACAAACCAGGTCTTCTCAGCCAGCATCTGCACCTGACCTCACACCTGACCTCACAAATGTACGTTTGGCTGAATGAACACAAATTTCACAGACACACTCCAAAATCTCGTGGAAAGCTGTCCCAGAAGGTAGAAAGCTTTAATATTTACAAAGGAGTTCACACTCCATCTTCATATTAAGGTCCATGAATTTGGTATGTCCAAGGCTACGTTCACACTAGCTTTGTTAGACAGACGTTTGGGAAGCGTTTTTACCGTTTCCCAAACGCCTGGGAAAATTCTGCACATTGCAGCACATGGTGCTGTTGAAACGGGAGCGTTAGCGTCGCGTTGCGGCAAAACGGATGCCTCTGGTCGAGTCAGGTGGAGTTAAAGCCTCCTATTCAAGTCTGCGGTGCCGCTCCACAAACGCCCGGCTGGCTTCGCGGTGCGGTTGCGACGCGGTTGGGGGGCGTTTGTGGAGTGTTAACACCATTCAAACTTCATTATAGGCGTTTGTGGGGCGTTTTTAACGCTTGGCAAACGCTTAGCAACCGCCGCTAAACCGCGCATGCGGCGTTTGCGGAGCGTTAAAAACGCTCCGCAAACGCCGGACCAACGCTTGTCAAACGTTATATATGTGAACGAGCCCTAACAACTGTATATAGGCATGATTGTTCCTACATTTGGCCATATAGTGCATTGTTTCTGTTTTTTTTCTCTTTTGGCTGTCATTTAATTTTTTTTCTTTAACAGTTTACTTAACAACTTATTGTAGTTTATAAAATCGCTCTTTATCGGAACTTACAACATTCATTGGTATAATTTGGTTTCTCATTTGATTTAGGACTGTTCATTAGCATGTTTTGAAAACACAAGGCTTTTAAGACTCATGAGGAATATTTTCCCCTTTCTTTTCATAATTAAGATAAGAGTTGCAGGAGTTCCTGTGTTCTATCCATCAAACGCTTTGCTTAGAGCATATGGTAATCTATAAAAGAACACCTCCCAGGATTTCACAAAGACAGCTTTCCTGTGGGAGAGCCCGGCAATTATACACTGCTGTCACAGCACAGTGCGTGATCTGACTAGAATTTCAACTGTTTGGCTTGTGTTGGTAACCAGAGAAACAGAGCTAAGCAAATGCATTGGACTTGTTGTCCTCATTGATTTATTTAACAAACTCCTACAATATGCATCGGAGGTTATAATTATCAACAATCACGGGCAAATTACTGCAAATGGCAAAACCAGGACTAAATAAACATGTTTGTCAAAGGAATCAAGTTATCCTCTGCTTGCTAACATTTTTTATTGACACAAGTCAGCAGGTTCTCTCCCAAACATAGATTTGTAAAGAGCAAGCTTGGATTTGTGGCAGTGACAACCTGGGAATACACAGATATTTGAAATAGGATACAGATAAATAAAAAAAAAAACCTCAGATGTATCTAGAGAGACATGAAACTTTGGAGATTTCCAAATTAAAGTTGCATTAAACAAAACAAAAAAAAACAAATTATTTTGCAACTTTCCAATTCTTAGATGTGATGGCTGCATTTGTTTTTATTTTTAGACATTTCTCTCTCTTTCACTTGGTAATTTGGTTGGTAAGTCTGTTATTTTAAGACCAAGCTATCCAACAAAGATGGTTGAGACCACCCATATACCACTTACAGGTGTGCCTACAATTGTCAGCTTCGATTTATTTATGTAAAACCTTTATCTCAAAAGGAAAAAAAAAACCTGCTG